TTCATTTCTGTCCAGGATGTGGTTTCACCGACCTTTAAGAGCTGACGACTGGCTGTTATTTGTAGTAAGTGTAATGAATGAAGTATTCCATTTTCAGTTTTGAATATGCTCAAGATATACTAACAGATGCATAAACAGATACAATCACCTACTGCCTACAATGCTCGCGGTTTCGTTTCGGGTGAAATGTTCAACCAAAAGGGCGAGGTAACGAAGCTAACTATCATATTTTCTCCCCTCTTTTTCTCTCTGTTATGTCAGGAACTGAATTGTGCAAATAATGAACAGCTTGTCGTGTCGTTGACTCAAGAAGGGCTGCTTCGGAAGGCGAGATTGCCAGAACCCGCACCGACCTCGAAGTTATGAAGTGTGTCATCGAATGTGGTAGCCTTCAATCTATACACTAATCTACTTATCTATATCAATTTTGAAGTCCCAACTTTGTGGATCAGCCATGGATGGTAGGTGGATAAAAGAAGTTCGTAGAAGCCATAAATTTCTCTTTTCATAATAATTTTCCCATTGTGTGTTTTTCTAAAACCATTCTAATAATTCATAATAATTTTAGAGAAGTATAGACAGAAGATCAAAGTTATGGTATTTCGTGTTTATGTGATGATGTAATAGTGTGTCTCCTCTCTCAATCTTATTTTTAGTTCATTTATGTGTTTTTTTTATTATAATTCTTACGTTAAGTGGATTCATGTTTGGATAGTAAAAATGGTAGATTTGAATTACAAACCTCTATATTGTAAAAGTACTATAATTTATGGGAAATGCTTTTGATGTTTTATATATCTACCTTTGATCCATATTTTTCAAAATATAATATTTTTAAGTTTGAGTCTTATTTGGTTATCTTTTAAGTAGTTATAAAATTATTTTTAAGTATCGTTAGAGAATAAATAATAAAAAATATAATTATGAAATTAAATAAAAATAAAAGGGATAAATGTATGTTTTAAAATTATTCAAGTTTTAAGAAATTCTATAAATTAATTCAATCCACAAAATTTTCAATTATTTTAACTCTATCCAAATAAGTTTATATCCCAATCCAAATCACAGGAAGCTTATTTTTACCACGGGTTAAGTTCAAGATTATGATTATAATCACAGGAAACTTATTTTTTGTTCATAAATGATATCGATAGTAGCAAGCTGCGCTGGCTGAGATAAGAACAAGGGGATGAGAGGGAAGGGGGAGGTAAAAAAACATTCAGAGAAGTTGAAGGAATAGAAGAAAAACCTCCTAGTTCAACATTTTTCAAGAATATTATACATCAACAAAAGCAAAACTAATGTCTTCAATAACGTTATACACAATATGTTATGTTACATATCAGCATTGCAATTGTAAAGAAATAAACTACTTTCACACCAACACGATGTAAGGCGAGATGTTTTTTATCAGTCAAAAGCAGATATCTCCCATGCTTCCTCGGTCCACTTACCGAAGAATATAAAGGGAAGAATTGGAGTTAGAGCTAGTTGGGTCGGGATAAAGAGTCAGTAAGCGCGGCGGGTACACCTCTAACTAAATAATTGTATTGCACTCAAGATCCCCTTGTAAAGTAATTTGCCACAAAAGTAACTAGTAGGCATACCAGTAGTGAAATTCAGCTAGCTTTTCTCCTTTTGAATGCAGGATGAATGGACCCATTATAAGAATCCAAATTGTCAATAGTTGAAATACAGTCCTTCATCCTCTTCAGAACTGCAGGAATCATAGAGATATTACTTGATATTTTATCTTTGAGCAATTGTATCTTCTTTTCTGTTTCTAAACCCTCGTCATGAAGGACCGTTCCTTCACCTCTTGTGATTTGTTGTTCATCATCTGCATAACAAAATGATTTGTCAGTCAGACCGTACAACTGAGTATATAAATCCTATATGTATCATCAGAATAACTCTTCATTACCACCAGACACACTAACATTGTCACACAAGTACATCCTTGGAGTAAACTCACGATTGAGTCCAAAAGGTTAATATTTGCTTTTTGAAAAAGATCGTAGGTTGGCGTAATCAATCAGAACATGCACGAATTATCGAAGCGCTCACGAACCATAAATATAATATAACTAAAGTAGAGATGGCATAAAGACTTCTGCAGACCATTGAAATAGAGAATCAAAAGGAACACAAAAGCAGGGGAATGAGCAATCCACCCTAAAAGCTAAAAGCTATTTCACGAAAAAAAGGACCTCGATCAACATAAATACAAGAGGCACTAGAGTCACAAAAATAATAAGATTAAGGGTACACGAAAAAGCTAACCATCTGGCTAAATCCTTGTCTTGAAAAGTCCTAGAATTCTCTGACTCGGAGCTATCATAGGACAGCCGAAATTCGTTAGCTTAGAGTAAGAACTTTGACTTTGTTTTTCAAATTGTGATACAATAGCTGCATTAGAATATTTGCTACCGAAAGGAATAACTACTAAAGTCGATACACTCACCCCGAAACAGCAAGAACAACCTACCTAGTGAAACACTTTGTGTAATTTTCAGAATTGGCCAAAAAGATCCACAAGTAGTGATGAGCAGCCTTACTAAACTCACTTGAAACATAGATTGTAAACGTAACACATTGAAGTATCATCACAATCAACAATTTTTTTGCAATTGTCAACAATTTTAAAAACTGCAACCAACAGAAGGACAAGACAGAAGGAAATGAAACAGAAATACAGTTTGGAACACTACAGGAAAAGAACAAGAAAAACTGAACAAAAAAATGAAATATAATTATATCAACGAGCTTCTCATATACGATGAAATCGATAAATGAAAGACCCAATTGAAATGACTTTCTAAGTACTTAAAAAATATTGCACACTGAAACAGTTCACTACAGTTCACTAGTCCTAAAATAGTCATTCTACATCTTAAGCTGAATGCTCCAGAAAGGCATGCTCAAAAACTGCCGTTGGATACATAAATTTAGCTCAAAAGCCAACAAAATAGGAGTATTTGAACTTAATCCCCCCATCCTGAACCAGAATTGCAAATCAAATCAGTGAGAAGAACAGGTAGCAATTCCAGATCAAAAAAATTAGAACTAATTGTATTCCATTCGCCCTAATTAAACACTTCAAAAAGCGTTTAGAAACCAACCCCTTGGCACAGAATTCCCAAACAGCAAACTCATTCACTTCAAAGAAGCATATACCTAATAGAACAGCATAATTTCAGATTTCTTTCAATTCATTTTCACAGAGAAAATCTACAAGTTCGGAGAAAGAAAGAAAACACAACCCACCTTCATGGTTCGGAGGAACAGATATTCCCGGCTCCGAGGCTCCGAAGGCAACAGGCCTCGCGGACTCGAGTAACGAAATGAAGGAGGACTTTAGTTGAGCAGAGAGAGTGGATCTGTAGTGAAGAATCCTCTGAGCCATTTGGTTTACTTCAAGCTCGAGCTCCTCATGCTCAGAATCGGGCTCCATTTCTTCGGATTCAAATCCAGAAACCCCGGTGTCTTCACCGGGTTTGTCGAAGGACATGTTTCAGTTTACATCCACAGCCAGTTTCTACAGAAATAGGATTGGAAGATCAGAGCAACGAAATTCAGTTGTGTGTTCGAAACGAATGCGAATCTTGGGATTTCGGAGGGCAATGGATTTCGAAATTTGAATGTTCAACGTGTGAAATCGACTGCAAGAGAAGAGAGAGAGAGAGAGAGGGCGTGCAGCCCGAGCCGACCAGGCGGGTCTTAAAGCTTGATTGGGCACCCGCCAAGCCTATTAAATGATGAAGCTTGAACATGACCCATTGGGCCTAGTCGGCCTATCTTAAGCCCAGCCCACAGTTATTTTAATATATTTTTTTTTTAATTTTGCATATTCATTATTCCATTTAAATGTCTAAAACTATATTCTAGCTTCCCTAAACCAATTAAACTATATTCTATATTCTAACTTTTTATCATTTATTTTATTTTTTTTTTGAAAAATTATTCGCCTTTAGTTTCTTTAAAATATATATATATATATATAAAGGTAATTTAAATACAAATTTGTTACTGTTTTGAAAATCATTTCAAACTCATTTTTAATTATAGTCTCTCGATAATTTATACAATTTTAATCATCCAACTCATGAACTTCATCCTAAAATGACGAAAACATGAACGGATGAAGGAATCCATCTTTATTTCAACACATATTATTTATCTATTAAATATACAAAAAAAAAAAAAAAAAAAAAAAAAAAAAAAAAAAAAAAAAAAAAAAAAAAAAAAAAAAAAAAAAAAAAAAAAAAAAAAAAAAAAAAAAAAAAAAAAAAAAAAAAAAAAAA